TGGGAGGCAGACACCTCTCCTGTGGGGCCAGCTCCCAGCTTGCTTTCAGGAGACACACACCCTCTCTACTCTTAAGATCAAAGTTTTCCTTTTTGATACATTTAGGGCTGGATAGGTGGTCCTGAACCCTCCCTTATTTATTCTGATAAATGAGCCCAGTCAATACTGGATTTTGACAAAAATTGAAGCAAGCATCTCCGCCCTCCGTATATTACTTGGTAACCTCCCCGTTACAGGACCTGTGGGAGTCGTTTCACCTCGCAGCAACTTAATATCTGAAACTGTTTTTGTCACTTTCATAATGAAAACTCTTCTTCACGCAGGCAGCTGGTCTGCAGCCTACAGATGAGAGATACGAGGCGGCACGTCAAGCCTCTTGTGTTCTGGTATTATTGGAAAAGCCGAGCAGCCGTAAAACCTTTTATTTGTGGTCATTGCTTGTTATCGAGCTGCTAGTTATTGAGCCTTCCACCGACTGCAGACTCTGCTCTGATGCTGCAGTACGAAGAAAAAATAATACACGTTTGTTGCTGCAGAGAGTTTCATCTCCATTCCTACACATTAGTCTAGTTTCTGAAGAACAGAGAATACTCAGTACTAATTGGCTGTGCAGAGGCAATGAGGCACCTCGCCGCGCTTTTAATACCAAACCGCAACTCATCATTAACGATCTCTGACACACTGACCTCCAACGTTTTACTTTGAGCCACATTTTTGCTCCTGGTTCTGCTGTGCTGCTGAGAACTGTGCCGTTTGTGATCCAGAGACTCTCTCCGTTTTGTTTGGGTTGATTAAAGATCTTTCGACTTCGAGCTTTTGATGTCTTCAAGCTGAAAGATGCTAGTCCATCCTGTGGGAAGAACTGCATTTGCCTCCCTCACAGGAACAGATTGTTTGTTCATTCATTCTCACCTCGTTCAATACAAATACCCAGCATAAAGTACTCTAAGAGCTTCCTAACAATCCAAGAAATATCTGTATAAACCTAAGTGGAAACTGTCTCTGGCAGCATTGGACCTGACAAAGTGTTTTCAGCTCATTTGGTGGTTATGCTCAGTTTTAAGGCGTGCTATAGTGAGCACATTGATTAGCTGTCTGGACACCATTTTACCCTCATTTTTGCTCTTATTAGTTTCCAGAGTAAGAGGCATAAAAAGCCCCTTT